TATATATATATATATGCTTGTTTGCTTTCGTATGCCTGTTTAGGCAGAGGTGTGCGATTGTTCTTGTTTTCCAGTGGCGCCATCTATGGCCAAGAGTTCGACTTCTGCTACACCATACGTCACACTCGTTTATAGGGCGGACCTATTCATACATCCATTCATACATCCATTCATTCATCCACAGATCGTAATTTTGACCTGAGTCAGAGAACGATCGATCTCCAATCCAGTACCCCCAGAGGTATTGATTTGTTATGGGAACATGGAGGACTTTGCGACTCGACAGATTTAACGTGCATCAGTCACCATTTACTAAACGGGGAGTCTTCGGCCGGCGGGGCTCGAACCCACGAATTCTCGAATTAGCGTTGTACAAATTTTGATTTTTTTTTTCAAACCACTTTATCGTTTAGTGTACTGATCATTGTGCTTGTATTTGTTCTAGTGTATTTTCTGCATTTTTTGCTGTATCCATTTTCTTAAACACACATTTTGAGCAGTATTCTTTTTTAAGCATGCATTTCGAAAAGTGTCCAGAATAAATAGATCAATGTAATTCTTTTAAACAAAATTATCTACATTCTGCATTCACTACTTTTTTTAATTAATAGCTATTGCCTTAATGTTTTAACATAATTCGCAACAACATTTTAATATTTTACATAAATAACATGCATCCGAATAGTTTCTTTAGCTTCTTTTTTATACAAATTTTTTAATAGATTTCACTCTTCTAGAATTAGGGAGAATGACGTTATTCGTTAAATACTACTCAATGTTGTATTAAAAAAAGATAAAAAAAAACGTTTAGATTTAAAACATTTATTAACTTAAGTACTAAAAAATTATTAAAAATTTATTAACTTAAGCATTAAAAAATATATTGTTATTAAAAGGAAACGCATGTAAAGTAAAAATAAATGTTTGATATTAATTATTAATAAAATAATTTCTCAAAATATTGCCAATTGAAAATATTTTTCTATCTAAAAATTTCCCTTAGGGACGTTATTATTTATTCTGAAACCACTTAAAATATTAATAAACTTATTAGTAAAGAAAAAATATCTAAAAAAATAGTATTTAATAGTAAAAAATATTAATTTGTAAGCGTTGCACTTTTCTTATTTTAAAAGACCAGTGTCCAGCTCTTTATCATTAACTTAATCCAGTGTTTCCAAAAGTGTGATATGTGTACCCCCAGAGGTACGTAAGCAGGGGATACGAGTTCTTATGCGAAATATCTTGCACCAAACCAAAATTTCAGAAACATTTATTTAAGAACAAAACTAGCCATGAAAATTTACGATTACGTATTTTTCTATTGGTTATTTTTTGCAGAGTTTACAGTTAATAATTAGTGGTGTCAACAGCCAGTTGTGATTTTTTAACTTTTGTTGAATTTTTTTTATCACAGCAAAAACAATATCATCCTTTTCACTGATGCAAATAAACTTATTAACAAAACTTAGTACCAAAAGAGAAAAATAAACATATTCTTCAAAAAATACATTCATTTTTTTTATTAGTGGTACACAGCTTTACGAAAAATTTAGAAAGGGTACACAAAAGTCATAAGTTTAATCCATAGGTACCCAACTTTTTTGGGTCGCAGCCCACTTTAGAGGTCAAAAAACTTACAATGCTCCTTCACGAAGTTATATAAATTATAATAATAATAAATAAATAATTAATAAAAAAATTGCCCTATTTTAAGTTTTTTTTAATATTTTTGTAAGGACAATTTCATATAACTATGCTTTCAAATTATTGAAAGTATACCTAGTGAACAACATAGTGTTATTTAATGCTGATTTTGATGAAAAAAATTGTAAAATTTTTAAGTGTTCACATAAAAATAAATTAAATTTATCATTTTTAAGATTAAATTAAATATTCTTCTTCTTAAATACTCTGAAAAATATAAAATAAGTGAGGTGTTTATAAATGAAATCAGGTCAGTCAACAATACATCTCCTGCCTTTTATTCATACAGCTAACACTGAGGTTTCTGAGTTAATAATCAGCAATCCGAAGCTAATTATATTTTGATTGTATCCTTCTGAATTATTTCACAAAGCAGAAACTACATTAACTATACGAATAAATTGACCTAAAAATGTATTTAAAATTTCTTTTTAATATGAGTAAAAAAATTGCTTTCAAAAAAAGGAATGTTTATTTAAGTTAAAGAATGTATCACCCTTTCAGATAAAATTTGGGGAAGCACAAAAGCTTTAATTCAAGCAAGGATCAGCTGTTGACTTCTAACATCTTTTCAAAAAATGATTATTTTAAAAACGTGAGATTTAGAGAAATAGACGACATCACATTACGAACTTATGACGTTATAACTTATTTGGCGTGACCAGACGTGAATAAGGAAGATGAGCTGATGTGAAAAGAATTTTGTCGTTATTGAAATTATCCGTTTATGCCGAAGATTCCAACGTATGGCGAGCCGTAGTGGCTCAGGGGATATAGCGCTTGCCTCCCAATAAGGCGAACCGGGTTTGAATCGCGGACATGGCCGGTTGACTCGAATTCTGCACCCGACTTGCACCAACCACAGTGCTGACGTACTCAGTGGTAGACGGATCATGGGTTAGAGTCCTGTAGCCATCAGGCTAACCGTGGTAGGTTTTCATGGTTTTCCTCTCCATGTAACGCAAATACGGGTTATTTCTATCAAAAAGTCCTCCACGAAAGCAAATTTCTCCCAGTACTTGATCCAGGAGTCCACTTGTCTTCAGATTGGGTTCAAAATTACAAGGTACGGAGCTGAATATTGATATCCGTAAACTGAAATATCGGTCGGCTGTTCAAAGAAGGTTATAAAATAAAAAATAAAAACAATGTATGGACAGATAATTTATCATATTCTTGATGACAGACCTTCAGACCTTGATGACAGATATCGAGTTCCTTTAATCTAAATTTCACAGCGCGTCTGGTTTTCCCGATGCAGCCAAGATTGCTTTGGTAAGGTATGTGGTAAATAAGTCTACGATTACCTATACTGTCAGCTCATCTTGCTTCTCTTGAAACATGTTTCATTCATATGAATAGTGCAGATTCCCTAGTTAACGATGTGAATTCCTCACCAACCTTCTTACGGCTTGGAAATGCAACTTGCCATGATTTGCCACTTGTAAGTTTTTTTAAAACAATATTCTTCATAATTTATTTACAATATTTCATTATTTTTCCTCAAAATATGTTGAGTAGATGTATAAGAATTTAAAATATACATAAACGTTTATTGTATCTCTATTCATAGTATCATTTTGATATTTCAAAACTATAGTCACCTACACTAGAATTACCCTATAACTGCTGAAATAATTTGCTTGTAAATCAATAAGTTTCAATCTAAAAGTTCTTTCTCTAATTTTTTAAATATTAATTTAATTTTTAAGCTAATTTCTTAAGCCTAATTTTCAATTACTTTTTTTAAATATGAGAGCTGTATCTAAATCAAAAAAGTTTTTATACTTTCATGTAACATTTGTTTCTTAGTCATAAAATCTTATTAAAAATTTTTTCATTAAGCATTTAAAAGTACTGCTAAGATCTAAAATTGTAGTGAATATTTTTAAAGAAAACATCTGGTTTTTTTTTCTCCGGCTTTTTCTCTTTTACCTTATTTTCAAGGAGGGACAAGGTAGTTTATAAGTCATCAAACTCCAAGCAGAATCAATGATTCAGTTCACTTAATTTGAATCGATAATTTGAATCGATACGAATCACTTATCTAAATCACTTGATTTGAACAGTGATTTAAATCCCTTGATTCGAGCCAGTGATATGAATCACTTGATTCCACTCACTGATTGAAATTACTTGATTCGAATAGTAATTTGAGACATTTGATTCAAAAAAATCATTTGATGCGAATCAGTGGTTTGAATCACTTCTTAACAATCCTGTGATTCGAATCGTTGATTCGAAACATTTGATTTGAGTCAGTGATTCGAAATGTTTGATTCGATTCAGTGATTCGAAATATTTGCTTCGCATCAGTGAGCCGAAACGTTTCATTCGAATAGTGACTAGATTCAAAACGATTGAGTCAAGTAATTCAGATATTTTATTGAAATCATGGGATTCTGATCACGGATTCGAACGTGATCTGAATCACCACTCAAATCACTGATCCTAATTAACTGATTTGGATCTAGTGGTTCAAATTACTATTTGAATCAATAATTTGATTCGAGCTACAGAATATCAAATAGAATATCAAGTATGTGATACAAATTTGAGCAGTGAAGAAGACCATTTCTAACGAAAGAAGAATGGGAAAGCAAAATTGGCGCCTGACTCTGCCCGAAAGGAAGTCTAGTCTTAGCTCAAACAAATCAATTCAAATTTTTCAAATTAAAACGTATTTTATACTTCTTACTTTTTATCACCTCATTTTATTTTCAGACGAAATTTGTTTCTGAGAAGGTAAAATCAATAATTCTAACATCAAAATATGGTGATTTATTTTAATAGAAATCAAAATCGCATTCTATTTTTTTTTGTTGTTGTTGAAGAATTTTGCTATACAACTGGAGCGTGATGTACCAACTATAGTCTACCATATTGCTAACTTAAAAATTATTTCTTTGTTTTAAAGAAAAATTACTGTCGACATCACCGCTATTTCAGAAAATTTTCCACTTGCGCTTCTCCCTCTTATAACGCAAACAAATTTCGTCAAAGAAAAAAAAAAAAAAAGAAAATGAAATCCACTCATTTCTAAAAAGAAATATATGAAATCCACTAAAATGTCTGAGGAATATTCTTACATGAAAATATTACTGATGCGAAAATTGCTTTTTGAATTATTTTATGCCAAATTTTCTTATTTTATTTTATATCGCGTAATATATATATATATATATATATAAACTCATGTTTGTGAAAATTGCTACACCATTACGCGAGTGAGCTGAAATTTTCAGGAAATGCAAAGTAGAGCAAAATATGCAAATGATTAGCCGCTCGTGTGCAGCGTAACAGAAGCACAGTGATGCGTGTTTGGAAGCAGTGGACGTACGAGTGTCAGACAACTCGGAAATCCGGGAGTGGATCCCGAAATGTCACGTCAGCTCGCGATGATAGACACCTGGTCCGCATGGTGCTGATAGACCGTACGGCTCCCTCTAGACAACTGGCAGCACAGTGGTCAATAGCTACAGGTGTTTCATTATGTGCTTCATCAATTCGTAGACGTCAAGTGCAGAGTGGACTAACTAACTATTCAAATTTTGCAGAGTGCCTATCCTGTGCAGGATATCTGCTCTTTCATCTCAGTAGAAAAATTTAAATGGAGGAAGGAAAGGGGGTGCCTAACTAGGTGTGACTATCAAATGTTACAATGAGAAAAATAAAGTAAAAAATCTGGGTTATATGCATAAGTACGTCGCAATTGATTACATAGAATTAACAATAAAAGAGAAAAGAAAAAATATTTACAAAATTTACAAAAGTATTGGACTCCCTTCACATTCCCTCGCCTCCCCCCGGCAAGCCGGGCTTCGTAGGTGCGGAGTGCGAAGTTTGTCTAGTAAAATTAGCTAAAGTGTCTTGAGAGTACGCAGTCGCTGAGAAAGAAGGCTGTGATCGGACTATAATTTTTGTTATCATCTAAAAAATCGATATCTAGTAGTTTATTGAAATCGCATGTATCGCAATTTTTGGCGCCCTTAAAAAAGGCAGTGTTAAGTTTATAGATATATTCATCTATTTTGGGTATATTGAGATCATTATATAGAGTGTTATTCCTAACAAACCAGGGGGCCCCTGTAATTCTCCTCATGATTTTATGCTCAAAAGTACGCAGTCTTTTTCGTTGAATGTTTGGTAGTGTGCCCCAAGTTGGGGATGCGTAACATAGTATCGGCCTGATACACATAAGGTATACATGTCTTTTGGTGTTCAGGGCTAGTTTGCTCTCTTTATTTAGTATTAGTTTCAACGCTTGGTAGGCGGCTCGCGCGCAAGGACTCTTTTATACAGGATCACCATCACACTAAACCATAGCCGTCTACGGCTACAATGGGCCAATCAGCATAGGGACTGGCGTGCTGATTGGCAGCGTGTCGTGTTTTCTGACGAATCCCGCTTTAATTTGTAGTACCATGATGGCCGCACTCGTGTCAGACGCTATACCGGTGAACGCCACCTTCCGGAGTGCATTATCGAAAGCCACAGCGGACGAACACCCGGGGTTATGGTCTGGGGTGCCATAGCATATCATGGACGATCTCAATTGCTACGAATTGTGGGTAATCTGAACAACAACCCGTGCATCAGTGAAGTTTTACAGCCCCAAGCTGTTCCCTTCCTTCAGGCCTTGCCAAGCGCTCTATTTCAACAAGAGAATGCCCGCCCTCATATTGCTAGGACTGTTTAATCCTTCCTTGCATTGCGACAGGTACAGCTTCTTCCTTGGCCTGCGCATTCCCCAGATATGTCACCGATTGAACATGCGTGTCATTTCGTTGGTCGGTGCCTCGCTCGCGATCCTCGTCCTGTTGCTTCTACGGCCGAACTTTGGGTACGCATACAAACTACATGGAATGCTCTTCCTCAGACAGACATTCAAAATTTGCATAACTCCATGCCACGTCGTGTAGCAGCGCTTATTGCGGTGCGTGGTGGCTACACAAAATACTGATTTTGATCTCTTGTTATTGTTTGTTTGCTTTTATGCTTTTAAAGTTTAATCATTTATTTGCACCACTACCACTCAACTGTATAGTAAATTTCATTCAATTATGACGATTCCTTCATGGTGTTGCAATTTTCACAGACAGGAGCTTATATATATATATATATATATATATATATATATATAAGATTTCTGCCCTTATTTAAAATTTCGATGAAGTTTTGAAATTATTAGAATTTAAATTTATTTTTTCAGTCAAATTTACTAATATAATCCCGAAAGGTTAATAAAAATTTAGTGTTTTTTTATCGTCGTATAGTTGGCATTCATTGACAAAAAATTTACTTTTTCATTTAAAAAACCCAAAATTAATATTTCTATGAATAAATTACAAGCTTAAATTTTGCGCCTAAGAAACGAATTTCAATCCACTTCTATACCTTAAATTTTTGCCACATATGTCTGCAGTCTGTCTGTCTTCTTCAGTCTGCAGAGTGGAGCAGAAAACAGACGTTCCGTCAAGATTTCAGCTTCGCTCTGCACAACCCCTTCACATAGCAATATATGCCTGCAACGAATAACCAATCAGAAACTGAAATAATTGTTAACACGAAGCATTATTTCTGTTTCGACTTGAATTTACTTTTGATTTTATGGATGCGAATTTTAAGTCAGGAAAATCATGTCTTTAGTTTTTAACTTTAGTTTAAATTTGATATAAAAGTATCATTGGTAAGAAAAATATATTATAAGACAGAAATTTCTTAAATTCACTTATAAATCTAAGAAGTCTGATCAATAAGTCATATCACAAAGCTGATAAATGCTAAAAATAATCTGCAGTTTTTCTACAGAAATTGTAAAAGTTATTCTTCAGTCAACTGTAGATTTTCTGTAGTGAAATCTTAACAGTAAAAACAAGTCAGTTGTTTTGCAGCAAACTGTGAAGTAATTTTATTCAAAAAAATGTTTAGCTATTGTCTGCAAAATTACTGTAGTTAATGTGAAATCCCTTTAAAATCATACATATAAAAAAATAACTATACTTTAAATCCGTGGTTATACGGCAGTAAATTTGAAATTTTTCTGTAGAAATTTTAAAAACTATTCTTCAGTCAACTGTAGATTTTCTGTAGTGAAATCTTAACCATAAAAACAGGTCAGTTGTCTTGCATCAAATTGAAGTAATTTATTTCAGTAAAAGTTTTAGCTATTGTCTGCAAAATTATTGTAGCTTATGTGAAATCCCTTAAAAATCATGATTATAAAAAATAACGATACTTTAAATCCGTGGGTTATACGGCAGTAAATTTGAAGTAATTATACAGTTATTGTTTCAGAAGTATATTTTCAGATGTATCTGTGGAAAAACTATAGTTATTTTGTATTCTTGTAAAAGTGAGTGTCTTCCGCCAATCAGATTCTTTAATCTCGCTTTCTTCGTTAATAAATCTTCAACTTTTTTACAATTTAATTATTTTAAAACTTGTATAAAATTAATTAATTAAATATTTCTATATTTTAGTAATTTTATTTTCATTAATTTATCAATTATTTATTTATTTTTGACTTAAAAAAGTTGCTTTTACACAAAGTTATGGGGAAAATAATATTATAATAAAATGTAAGTTGTTAAAATTTATAAGTTTCCTTAATTTGAATTCATACAAAATTAGAGCTACTTCAGATCCAAAACCAGACCTACTATTTTGTCTAATAAAAATAAATGTTTAATTTGTGTTTCAAACACAGTTATTTCAAAATTGAATCATAAAATCATTGTTTAATCAATAGTTGAAATTTTAAATCATAATTGAATTTAAAAATGGATGCTTAATCCCAGAATTTTTAGCTTTAATGATAAACCTTAAATTCTCAAATTTATTTCAGACCGTTTTTGAAACTTGTCTTAGATAAATTTAGATAAGTCAAAACATATATCTTTTTTATTGCTTAAAAATAAGCCTTTTTCAAATTAAACAAACAACTTCGTTTGATAAAAAATATAGTTAACATACATATTAAAGCATAGTATTTTAAACAAAAAAAAAACAAATTTAACATAAATAGGCTTAAGATTTATAGAACTGCTTGTCATTAAAATTCGTTCTAAAATCTCCAAAAAAATAACGAATTCAAACTAATTCGAACAACGAGAAAGAAGCAAATCTACGTTGTCAGAAATTTCTCGAAAAAAATAACATGTTTAATTGTAAACACTTTTTAATAAATAACAATTCATTAAATTGTTATTTTGCCATATTCAAACAAAACATTCAAATAGCCTTAAAAAGACGGTATTCGAATTTTTAACTGTGAGAAAAATCGTTTAACTGTTTTCACCTAAGATGATTAAACAAGCAAGAATTTTACCAGCTCCTACTAGGCCCACCTAATGAAAAATCTAAAATCCTTGCAGCTGTGATGCAGTTGTAACTACTAGGATCACCTTAGTCTATAAACTGCATTTTTTAAATATAAATTTTCTGCGGTTTATTTTTAGCTGGGTTGACACAGTTTTCAAAATCAACAAAAAGACACAAAAAATTAAGGGATGGGGACGGTGTGATAAGATGTTTCATAATTTAGTTACGTTATGCCAGTAAAATATAAAAGTGCCAGTACAATAAAAAAGTTATTTTATTTGAACAACACAACAAAAGTATAATACCAATGCTAGCAAAAAAGAAATGTAACTGGCAAGGGACATTAGCCCATTTCCTATTTTAGTTTTAGGGCAGATACGTAACCTAATTATATATTTAATCTATATTCTGGCAACTAACAAGATAATGTTAGAATGTAACTTGTTAGAATGTAACTTGTTGGATCTAGACCATATAATGCAGGTTCACTGATCTCTAAAAATAATTACAGTATAAGTATAAGCTTTAATTTTCTGCTTAACTTTATTAAATTTTCCCGAAATTTGAGCTGTATAAATTATTTTGTCCCAATAGAAAGCTTTAAAAAGGTAATAAATTAGGAATATAATTTTAACAGCACATAAGGTTATTAATTTTTCTAAGGACAAACCCTTTAAAAGGAAAAAAATAATAACAAAAAACATAAGATGTAGTTTATACACTTTCTTTTATCAAGATAATAGAAAATCCATAAACTAAAACACATAAAACTACAATTAAAACACTTAAAAAACATGAACCCCTCTATAGTTTGTCGATGAAAGTAACTCCCCTCGACATGAAGTCTGAGGCCGTCTGTTACTATGGAAACAAGAATACAAAGTGGGTAGCTTCTTTTTCCCTTGATTCCCTTTCTCTTGCCGACTCGAGTCAAAACCTGGCTTAAATAATGGTCCAAAACCCCTACTTGAAATACTTAAACCTCGTAACCATTGTAACCACCACCATCACTCCAGAAGAATGGCTAGGGGAGTTCTTTACATAAACAAACTATACCTAACCACCCATCAGCCCAAGAAGCATGAATTTTACTATTAAAAAATTGAGGCAGTGAGCGGCGTAACTACCTCATAGCAATGAATGATAACAACGGTGACGAAATTAGCTAACGAAGGATCAAAAAGCTCTCTAAAACAACATGCGCAAGTAATTCATAGGATTAGCCGGTGCATTAGTTCTAATGCATGCTCGTTAAATATGTCGGGTCACAAAGTCCTCCATGTTCCCATAAAAAAAATCATACCTCTGGGAGTACTTATCCAGGAGTTTCCTTGTCTTCTGAATTGGGCTCAAAATCACATGGCTACATAGTTGAACATTAGTAGTCGTAAACCCAAAAATCAGGTCGGCTGTTCAACGACGGTTATAAAATGAAATGATTATAAAGTGGGCCCAGGATAGCCTAGTTGGTAAGGCACCGGGCCCATATCAAAGAGGCTGCGGGTTCGATCCCTACCGGAGGAAGACTCCCCGTGCAGTAAATGATAACTGATGCACGTTAAATCTGTTGAGTGACAAAGTCCTCCATAATCCCTTAACAAATCATACCTCTGGGGTACTGATCCAGGAGTTTCCTCGTCTTCTAGATTGGTTCAAAATTACAAGGCTACGGAGTTGAACATTAATATTTGTGAGGCCAAAATTGAGACTGCTGATCAATGATGGTTATAAAATAAAATGAAATGAAAGTAAAGGGAGCCGTGATGGCACAGGGGATAGAGCGTTTGCCTTCCAATGAGGTGAACTGGGTTCGAATCCCAGCGATGGCTGGTCGATGCGAATTCCGCATCCGGCTTGCACCAACCAGAGTACTGACGTAAAATATCCTCAGTGGTGGATGGATCATGGGTAAGTCCCCTTGCCGGGAGGCTAACTGCGGGAGGTTTTCGTGATTTCTTCACGATGTAGCGCAAACGAGGACTAGTTCAATCAAATAGTCCTTCGTGAAGGCAGTTTCTCTCAATACTTAATCCAGGAGTTTCTTGTCTTCTGGATTGGGTTCAAAATTCCAAGGCCACGGAGTTGAGCATTAGTAGTCGTAAATCAAAAAATTGGATCAGCTGTTCTGTGACGTTTTTAAAATCCATATAAAATAAATATATAAAAGAAATTTAGCTGGAAAATTAAACAAGACTAAGATGGAGCCTTAGTTAAAGATGTATATTTATAATGATTATTTAAACAAAATTCTAGTACCATGTTTTCATATTACTTATATATAACAATTATATATAGTATTCAGAAGTATTGCAATGAGAAAAATTAAAGAAAAAAAGAAAAAACATTGGCCATTAACTAGCGTGAAACCAACGTTTCTAAATTGGCTTTCTCTAAAAACACTTAAAATGCGATCTTTGTAAAGTTTTGTCACCCTGTTTATAGAAATGTTGAAATGTCAAGGTCAATGTTCTTCAACCATGGGTGAAAGCGAGACGGAAAAGAGGACAACCGGGTAGTAAAACCATTTCAGTTTTAACTCGTTTTGGGGAGGAGTAAATCTATTCTCTTCTTCAAACTATTCAACATTATCTACCTTTTCTCAGGATAAAAGCAGTTTTATATCTAGCATGCTATAATTGTATAAAAATCTCGATAGTTGCAGAAATTTAATGTTTCTTAAAAAAATGCTAGAATGAAAAATGACTTTCGTACCAGTTTTCGCTCTTTTCCGTCATGGTATATATCGGCTTTCAGCCCTGTCTTCAACTGAAATCTAATTTTGTTTAATTGTTTGAACTCGTTGTGGTAATTATTGCGTATAAAGTTTTCTCAAATACTCTGCAGAAATATGAAAAGGTTTGAGTTCTGTTTTTCGCTCCCGTTTTTGCAAATAGGAAATGAAAAAGACAATTTTCAAATATTTGTTTTTAATCGCTTATGCTAAATATTTTTTTTATCTATTGCGTTGCGATTCCTGAAAAATATTTCTTAGATCAAAACGACGACGTAACTGAAGTAGTACAACATAAAAGAAAAAAAACGCTATACATTTCTTAATTCCTTTAGTTAAAATTATTAAAATTTTGTAGTCGATATTTTAATGTCATGGGCTGTTATTCTTATGCTGAAAACTCTCTACAAATTAACAGATTAAACAAGTTCTGGTTATTGACCCCAGAAAAACGTAGTTCTCAGAGTTAGA